AACCGTTTCAAGCAATCCAAATTCTTGAAAGCTTCTTATAATAGCACACCGAGCGCTTTGTAGCACAGAACGATCCATCTCAAAAATTGCAGAGCGCGACCGCGGGCGGTACCCAAGAATAGTATCCATGGATTCGACTATTGGTTACGGTGCACAAAGAAAATCGAAAAGTACCAATGCTTTTATTGGATGGTCATATAACATCTCAGGCTTGTACGCCTCTGAAGGCTTGAACCTCTGCTCGAGTCGCTCATTATATAACCTCTCATGTGCCAATCTCAGATCGCCGTCTGATCACGATCTGACAAATCTTGTCATCAAAGACAGGTTCAACATGAGGCATGCTGCTGCTTGTACTAAAGGCCTCAACAGAGGAGATTGCGCAGTCCGCAATCGCGACCGTAAATCCCCACAACCCATGTCGGCCTCTGCCTTGATTGATGCGATGCACCCGTGCCGGCATTTCCGACCTCTGGCGGACCATCTCGAACACTCGATGATCCTTAATGTCGCGCGCAATGAACCCCAAAGGATTCTCGCAATCCGCCGGGTCAAATATTCCAATAGCATATACGTCATACCCGTTCCCCGAATGCTTGCGAAGCACGAGCTCTTGTCCGGGTCGAAGCTTGCGAATGCGTTCCTGACGGCCGTCGAAGCTGACCTCGACAACTCGGAATAGCATACGTCCACCTGGGAGCTTCTCCATCAGAGGGATAGTCTGCTTCGTTCACCTGAGCTTCTTTCTTAAGCATGTACGACGCAACCCGCAGGTTTCAAAAGACGGATGTTCGAAGCATCGGGTGTCATGATATTGCACTCAAAGTACACCATTGTGTAACACAAGCAAGTCCACACAGAATGCCGCGTATCATTGTCATAGAAAGGCGTGCTCAAATTCAATCATTTCCGACGGCCATGTTTTGACATGTTTCGAATGGCCACAATCGAAGTAAATGGTATGAATCCAAAGTCTTAATCTACACTTTTCTCGGTGGACCACACCTTGCATACGGCTTTACCTGGCATACGTGAGGGTTCCTTATAATCATCAACAAGGTGTGGTCAAACTTGAGTAGCCACTTGCTTTGCAAATCAAATATAAAAGCATAGTCTGACCGGAAACCCTCATCGTCACAATATGGCGCAGTGAGAAGCCCTCATCTGATTGTCAATAACTCATTTTGTAATGCGAATTCAAATACCTGCACTCAATCCTACCTTGAAGCATTCCATGAATCAAGAAGCCCGAACTACAATCTGACACTCTTCATTCTGGGTCACCATCGCCAACCACCTAAAGGGAACCCCGTCAACGTACTCTCTCAATGCTGCGGGAATGATTCGCGACTTCAGAGCACGTGAATCCTTGAATCGCAACTTCAACAGCTGGGCCATGAGATCTACCCCCACCGGCCCATCGACTGGCCGAGTCCGTGTCTTTGGCTTCCGCTGCAGCTTCCACCCCCCATAAACACGGGGTCCCCTCCGCCCCTCCGCGGTCCGCGGCGATCGGCCAGTCTGCACGGCCTCGAGCTGCAACCCAAGCTCCGAGAAAACGTGGTTCAAGGCAATCGTGGCCGACTTTTGCTCCGCCAGGACGTCCTCGCTTGGGAGCGCGCGTGCAGAGAACAGCTTCACGATCTCAGAGTAATCTCGGAAGTAGCTGGTGGCCGCCAGCTCCTCTCTCAATTCTGCAAGGGTCCTGGTGACGTGCTCGTGGGCGAGGGGGTGCGGAAAGCCCAGTACCTCCAGCAGTTCCTTCGCCATGTCTTTCTTTTGACGCCCGTAGCTGC